AGTTAATTCGTTGGATAGAGCTTGTAGAAAGCATGATATATTCTACAGTGCGCATTCAATAACTGAAGACAGAAACAAGTCCGATGATATCCTAGTAAAGAAAGCGGCTGAAATTGCAATAGATTCAAATGAGCCTGAATATGTTAAAACTGATGCTAAGTTAGCTAATGCTATAATGGCTGGAAAAAGTTACGTAGGTCTTGGAGTACCAAAAAACGTAAAAGTCCACTCACAGAAGTGAGTGGAAAATTTTTAAATCAATTATATTACGATCCTAAAACCGGCTACGTGGGGACAAATGAACTTATTCATAGAAGTGGTTCATCTCGAAAGCAAGTCACAAATTGATTGGAGTCACAGGACCCCTACACTCTACATAAACCAGTAAAATATAATTTCACCACAAGAAGAGTTAAAGTAACAAAGATTGATGATCAATGGCAGGCAGATTTAGTTGACATGCAGAAGTATACAAATAAAGGTAAAAACTACATGCTAACCGTGATTGACATCTTTAGCACACATGCATGGGCAGTTCCTATACATAGAATAAAATACTTAAAAATACTTTTTAAAAAAACACGTTTTTCTTGTAGACTAAAAAGTAGAAAATAAATTTTGGCTCGCCCCAAAAAACGCGGGTCGGGCTGTACGTTCAACATCAAATTTCCAAAATTCGTGTGTTGTGTGCTTTTCGCTTTAATCATAAATCTGCCCGACACACGTTTTTTGGGGCGAGCCAAAATTTATTTTCTACTTCTTAGTCTACAAGAAAAACGTGTTTTTTAAAAAAGTATTTTTAAGTATTTTATTTTCTCCTTTTTAGTCCGTTGCTGCACGGACTAAAAAGCATGACTAGACGTACGTATCGATGATACGCAGCGTCAGCGCCTGCTCGTCTATAACGTCAGCGCCCGCACGTCATACTATGTATATACTATATATATATACTTTACTCGATTAAGCTAATTTAGGTCTCTAATTGCAAGTTTTAATGATTGTATCTGAAATTGTTAGGCGAAAATAGCCTGCATGCCGAATTTCAGATCTCTAGAGCAATCAGAAGTGGGCTAATTTTTGTTGTCAATTTTAGCAGCAAACAAACAAACGCGAAGCTAAGCTAAGAAAAACGTTTTAAAAACTGGTGAAGAAATTAAAACCTCTTTCCAAAAGCTTTTCAATGAACGAATTCCCTGAAAAATTCAAACAGACAAGGGTCTAGAATTCATTAACAAGCCAACACATGAGTTATTCAAAAAGTTTAAAATTCAATGGTTTGCCTCTGAAAATGAAACTAAAGCTCAAGTTGATAGATTTAATCGAAATCTCAAGACAAAAATGTGGAAATATTTCACGTATGCCAAGACAAAAAAGTGGGTAGATATTTTACCAGATTTAGTTGATAATTATATTAATATTTATCATTGATCAATAAAAATGACTCCTCGTGAAGCTTCAATGGAGCAGATCAGTAAAATAGTCTATGCAAAAAAGATTATGACTGTTGTAAGAAGGCCTAAATTAGAGATTGGAGATCGTGTCAGAATTAGTAGAAAACGTAAGGATTTTAATAAAGGATATCTCCCTAATTTCACACGTGAGTTATTTATCATCTCTAAACTATTAGAAACGAAACCTGTAAGTTATAAGTTGAAAGATATGAATGGGGAGGAAGTAATAGGGAGTTTATATGGAGAAGAATTATCAAAATATAGCAGCGATATTTTTGAAATTGATAACATTTTGAAATAGTAAAGGGAAATTGTTAGTTAAATGGAAGGGAAATGATGACCCATCGTGGCTCCCAGTAGCTGAACTTACATCAAGTTGACATTAAGTTAAACACACATTAAGTTCAAAATGAACACACATTGAGTTCAAAATAAACTGACATTGAGTCCTAGTTAATTGAGATATTTTAATTAATAAAATAGCGATAATTGATGTAAAAACAAAACAGGACTTGATAAAATTAAAGCGAGAGTTGAAAAAACAATTCACACAATAAAAATTTATGGAACAAGATTTATACAATGATGCTAAAAAAGGATATAAGCCTCTAATCGAACCTCTTACCAAAATGGTGGTAGAAACTAAGCAGACAAGGTTAGCTCTGAAAGATTCTCCCAGGGAATCATTAACAATCAAACCTGCTGAGAGATTGGCATTAGACCCTCCAGACTCAAAAGGACCCGACTCAAAAGGACTAGTTGGTTCAATAGCTAAAACATTTTTTAAATCTAGCCTTCAAGCCTGGATCTGAATATGACAACGCTTATGGCATAAAATTTGATGGAAAAATTTAATTCTAGGCGATATAATTGCCAGCATCCAAGGTAATGATTTAGGGATTGGTAATAAAATTTATGAGGGAACTGTTGGGTTATGGGAGCTGCTAACAAAGCTAAAGCCAAAAAACTATGAGGAAAAAGATGCTGCAAATTACCTTGGAATTTTGAGAGAGACTAAGCCTCATGCCAAGCCGGATGGGACAATAAAAGCAAACAAAGGGGATAAATACAGCAAATTCATCAAACCACTTCATGAAGCAACACAGAAGGAAAAGGTCCGTCATGAAGTTGCTAGAATTGTTAGAGCTGCAAGTCCCGCATCGTCTAGGGATCAAACTCCGGAATCAAGACCGGATACTGATTTAGATGTTTCAGGATCAGGAATAATAGTTACACCTTCTAACGTTAATGAGATTGCAGCAAGATATCACTTATTATTTGGCTCTCTGAATGCTGGAAACACAGGAGTCTTTAATGAATTGCAGGCACTCACTCATGAACTTTATAAACGACATTATTAAATGATCGTGATGTTAACTATTGAATGACTTTTGTTTAGGGGAGCGTCTGGGTCCAAAATCGAAATTTTGGCTTTTCCGGTTTTTAGTCTCATCTTAAAGCTTACATTCTAAGCTATCCAACGGTACCAAAACCATCTCTGTACGTTGATTTATGCGTTCAGGGCAGATCATGAAATGGAGGGAGGTGGGGGAGTTCTTTAACAAATTAGATAGGGGAAATTAGCCGCCGAGCACTATAAATAGACTGCCTGCTAGAGCTGAGCTTCAGTAGCCCGATTGGTGTCCTACGGGGTGGTGTGCTAGCAGTGGCTCCCACCATCCTTGACAGGAATCAAGCTCCAGTAACGCTTAGTTTCGTAGCCTTGCTACATTGAGTGGCTATTCCTATGCGAGCGGGACTTTGTCGCGCTGTCCTGAAAAGTTAAATTTTTGTCACGGCAAACCTATCTCCTCCTAGAGTTTTGAAGCTACAGCAATGGGAGATATACCATTCGATTTGTAATTAAAATATCTATCGATTCGTCGTAGCTTTTTTCGAATTTCGTTATAGTTTTGAAAATATTTTGAAAAAAGGGGCGGAAATTGGAAAAAAGCGAAAATTTCTCGAAAATTTTGGGAAAAATGCTCCCACATCCACAAATATTCGAAATTCGAAAAAAATCTACGACGAATCGATAGATATGGTCCTTACGCATCGAATGATATGCGTCTCGATGTTATAGCTTTAAAATCCTATAGCTTTAAAATCCTCCTACGGTACCCCTTTTGGGCCGTTTTCTAAGAATTTCACGTTTTCTCTAATTTTTTTCGAAAAATTTTCACGAACAAAAAAGTCTTCGAATTCTGTTTTACATATTTGTACCATGTTTCAAAACGATCCGTCTGTAAACAAAAAAGTTTTTTCTCCACCCAGAAGCTCCCCTCAAGAAAATGGAATCTCAGAGCATAGTTTTTACCTGTCTTGTATTTCCTTCTCCAAGTTTGAGTTGTCTCATAATTGGAAAATCGAAATGTGGAAAAACGTCATTGCTACTGAAGTTGCTGTTGGAGAACTTTATTGATTTCAACAATCTTTTCCTGTATATCAAGTCAACTCAAGCCTGAATATAAGTTGTTGAAGAACGATTTCGATAAGGGGTATAAGAAATCTGAAATCATTTATTTATTTTCTGACTGCAATGGTAATATTGATTAATATCCTGAAAACCTACCTAAAAGAATATTTTGAGAATACTGCTTCTGTACCTGATCCCAGTGATATAGATCCAAGGAAGAAGAATTTGTTCATTTTTGATGATATTGCTACGGAAAAGAATCAAAATCTTGCTGATAGTTTTTATACCCATGGAAGACATTATAACTGTAGTTCAATTTACTTATCCCGAAACTATCACATACTACCAAGAAAAACCATTTGAACGAATTCAAATTTATTAATTTTATTCGGGTTCATCGATATGAAGAATATACATAATGATACATTGCTTGTGATATGCCCTTTGCAGAGTTTCAATAACTGTGTAGTGAAAAGTATAAAGCACCTTATAGTGTTGTGTTGATCAATAAATATGAGCACCGCGGTTCTGGAAAGTATTTAAAAAATTTAAATCTTTATATATCCCACAAAAGTATTTTTCAGGCAACCGCTCTAGGTTAAGCCCCGAGTTTTCGGTTAAAGAGTGCTCGGTCAGGGTAAATGGTCGTTAACTCATGATACTGACGGTCGAGATTGTGACTAAATGGTCGTAAGACAGTTTTCAAATTTTTGATGGTCAAGATTGAGTAAATGATCAAGTTTAATTCGGGAGTAATTGGTTAATTTTGATGGGTAAGATTCGGGATAAATGATCGGTAACCTGTTAAGCTGTTTATGCAAATTGTGACGGTACACCCCTTTTGCTATCTACTCCTATTAATTCGCAGTTAGCTAAGATGATTAGTTAAAATTTATCATAATATATGATATCAACCTAAGAGTCATTTCAAAAAGCTTTAAATTGAATTTTCCAGTGCAGATAACCAGCACTGAAAATTAACTGATTATTGGTAGTTAGTATTCAACTTGCAATTAACTGGAGCGATGCACATCTGGATGTGCATCATCCTGATAGTATCAGGATGGAGAGATGCTATTTCCATCCTGATAGTCAAGCTTATAATGTTGAAAATAATATTTATTCCTGCACAGGAAGCTTGGCGCTCTACTTGTACATCTTGGAGAAGGCTGGCGAGCAGGCTGTGAAGATCGTATCCTGGCTACCGCTACTCTGCCTCACGGTCTACGGCGTGGCCTACAACATCGGCTACGGCTGCGTGACTGGTGTTCTCTTAGGTGAGCTCACTGAATGAAAATTGTTGGTTACATTATTTTCCGGCTAGTGAAAAATCACTTCTAAGTCAATTAATTTGCATATCTTCAACTAATCAAATATTTAAAGCTGCAGAAAAATATTTTTGGGACTTTGACATTTTTGCTAAGTGAATGATAACTTTTCATTGTCATCTGATTGGACTAATTAGTCGTGACGATTTTTTCCCGTAGTGACCCATTTTTTAGCTGCTATAAAAAACTTTGATACACATACCGTGTGTATTACAAGTGAAATGGTCGGAATATTTTTAAAATCCCACTATTATAACTTCCTTATTTCAGTAGTAGGTTTCAACCCTTAGAATAACTGATATTTTTCCAGGGGAAATGTTACCGCCATGGTTCAAGGAACGAGCCGGTGCGATAACGATGCTCACTACAAATACCATGCACCTGTTGATGGTCATTTTGTTCAGCCAAAAAGAGGTGACATTTCAAAGGAATTAATTTTAATTATTGATATTATTTGTTAATAATTTAGTGTAGCGAATATTTAATTGACGATGTCACTTACATATCCAGAAAGGACTTAATCAAAACGCAAAATATGTAATTTGTTTAGTTTATCTCCGGGTACAAGATTTTCCTCTAGCAGGTTATAATTTTAAAAGCTAATATCAAGGCAAACTTATTTCAGTCAGACTATATTCACTGCCAGATCATAAGCTATTTTCATATGTTTGATATATTCACTATCATAACGTGGTCCATCACATGCGCACTCATTTTCAGGACTCGCTTGAATCCTACGGCTTATTTTTAGCGCTGGCTGCTCTCAACACTGCCGCAGCAATACTGATTGCGTTGTTCGTCAAAGAAACAAAAGGGAAAACACTGCAAGAAATATCAGAGCTTTTCGAAAAGCGTCCAAAACTTATTGAATACGGAAGTATTGACCGTTGACTCCAATTCGCCATCCTCCTTCATCAAAACTTCCCACGAGCGACAAAACTTGGACCCATACATATCGCTTTTGCAATATTCGTTGCTTGTTGTGTGATTTTCTGTGGCTTACTCAGCTATTTCTTGGACATAAATCTATCGTACAGTGCCATGCTGTAATTCAAGTTACGTTTTTTAGGCCACTGTAATAAATTAAGAAGTGATTTCAGTTTTCATTGCAAATTAAAATATTTTATTCATATAAGGTTTTCTTCGTCTGCAACTAAGTTTACGTTAAATACTGTCATGGATAATTCTCCCTTCATTCCTTATCGGAATCGTTTATAGGTGTCAGGATTACATGCGAGAGTTTGAGCTGATATAAAGCCGCTGTTAAACATACTGCTTTTTTTTAAATAAATTTATCGTTTTATATGCAAATCAGTCCGACAGTTGAATGGCGTGGTGTGAAGCTATTCTTGACCTCGTTAACCTCAATTATTAAAAATCCTATGTATTCAGTCAAATGTAGTTCATGGAAATTGTATAGAGCCTGTTGTTAAGTTCTTTTCTATATTTGTTCTTTATATCTGTTTACCCACATTTATTGTTAATTTTATTGCCATCTGTGACTTTCAGATGGAAATAACACGCAAGTGATATAACACAATAACACTATGAAACACAGGTAAATTTCATCAACATTTATTGATAGAAGCGACGCGGATATCCTAGACAGTTTAGGCGATACAGCGGAAACATTTCTCTAGTACAAGAGACAGTATATAGCGAAACAGCAATCAACTTAAGATTATCCGGCACAAAACACTTTGAAAATTACATCGGCCAAAAGCGGGGGACTCGTAACTATAACCTTACGTACGATCAATCATCCGAATACTGCAAACGAGTCCTACTTACAGGTATCCTAACCGGTATCCTGTCAATATGACAATTAACCGTTTACTATCGTCCCCTACGATTGGGCTCTAAATGTTACGAATTATCTACTTGATGTGCTAGGCGCAGTATATTGATGCAAACAATGAATAGAGTGAAAAAATTTGGAGGTTGCAAGTGAAAAACGAACATTGTTGAAAAAGCGGACAGGAGCGGAGATTTGAAAGTGTAAAACGAACTTTCCTGTAAAAGCGGTGAGGTATGGAGATTAGCAAGTGTTTAACGAACATTATTGCAAGCTGCAGGGAGGAAATCGAGGTTGAGTTAGAATTTAGAGGAGAGGGCCAAGCCATGACCGTCACAGAGTCTGCTCCGGTCGCTACTCGACCAAGATACTAGAATTTCATGCTCCTTTTACAAGTCTTAATTGAGAACAAGAGGTCCCTTTACGGCGGCGGTTTTCATGTAAATACCAAAATTCCAACGGTCGTTTTCACACTCAGGCCTTGCTATGGTGCCACACTGCAAACAACAGCCCGGCTTCAACTACCTTACTTCACTTCCCCCTAGATAAAGGGTCTATACAAAACATCATTTCCTCGATTTCTGATCTGGACAACATTCTAATAACTTTGTAATTTATTGTATTAGTCGAATTAACACAAAAACACAATAGCTCCCTGACATCTGATGGCATGTCTCAAGTTGATCGATTTCCTGCTTAGTCCTCCCCCCTTTTTCAACTATATATGTACGAGTGAATCATTCACTTAATTTGTAGATACAAAAAACTTGTATGACACGCACCAATCGTATGAAATTTTTTTGTACGGCTGCCTCCCGTTTGAACTTCTCCGATGTGTTCGTGTACCACTAGGTCCTCGCGCTGTTTTATTTTACTTGAATAATCCACTAATTAGCAATTAATTAAACGTGCCGCTGAAATATCACAGTGAGCCGGCATGAACAGGTATCACTTCACTTAGAAAATCGCCCTCGTGTACAATTTGTACAACTTCAGAGGTATTCGCAAGTTAGGTTGGGAACCACTGCAGTGCTTGTAAACATGTCAGTATAAAGATTACTTGGTTGCTTTAATCGCAAGTTTGTCAGGAATTTAAAAGCAAAGAAAATAGCCAAAAAGTTCACTATTTCTTAAAAGAGAAAACGTTTAAGAGTCCAACTCAATTGCCAGTTCAAAATCTAGAACACAAGTATAAACAACTAGCAACCTAAAATTCACATTCGCCTAAAATTGAGGACATTAGAACCTAAATCGAAAAGAGAAACAAATATAAATTAAATAAACATGAACAGAATTATCTATCTATTTATATACCATTTGAAGAGGATAGAAACTGATAGCGGCATTTAAACTGGGCCTTTTAGACTGGGCGGCATTTAAACTAGGCCCTACAGCCCTTTGTTAAAATATACAATGCTTCTAAAATACGTAGGTAAAAAACACCGGTTGTGGTGGCTAAAACTCTAAAATCACTATTGGATACCGGAGAGTTGCACTGCTCGGCATGAACGCTTCCGGCCGAATGAGGGGGATGGCCGAATGAGCCACCAGACAGATCACGTCCATTGAATTAACAATTATTAGATCAATCAGCCTGCAGAAAAGTAGCCTGACGTAGTATGGCCCATCATCGTCTGCCAATACGCGAAAAAATCCACACCACCCGGACGGAGGGCGCCGGAGCTTTGCAGAGATTATGATGCCCGCCACCGACCCGTCCGTATCTATCCCGCGTTTTGAATCAGTCTGCGGTCGAACGGCCATTCGTCGTAGGACGATAGACTTCGGAACATTACTAAGCTATCTGAAACCTAACTCCAGATGCGAAAAGTAACCGTCTGGCGGTTGCACTGATGATTCGTGCAGTTCCACTGGCAAGGTGGGCTGATTGGTCTCAGTCCGTTGTCCGCTATTTACAGTTCGAGCTAAAGTCAGGGGATGAGGTGATGATTCGATGCAACGTTCTGTGGTGGACGATCATTACACTTTGGGCTATTCGCTTCAGAATGTGGTGGCGCAAAGCTCCTAATATTTAAAGCAAGATGGCTGGTCACTGACGGATGGCTTAACACGCGACTGATTTGCGGTCATCTGGAAATATGCTAGGCGTTCATTTGAGGGCTGATGGAAATAGGTGAACGCAATTTTCCATTGGTAAAGTTCTGTGAGAATGCAATTCAATTATCCCATAAAAAATGACAAGTCATTAGAGTGAAAATTTACCAATTCGTTGATATCTCCCACTAAAGTTCAAAATAATTTCATGAAACATTTGTCTTCGCTATGTTGGACGTGCGCAATATTTACTAATATTAAAGTAATTTAAATTGATTAATGTTTCACCGAGTTTGAGGTTACTTACTTCATAATTTAACCGAGTCTGGGACCACAATGTACATCAGACCACAATAGGTGCTAACAATTATTTCCTATTACATGTGGGGAACATTTATTTCGAAGTTTACCAACTAATTCATGAAGAATATTTGTGGTACGTTCATTACTTTCATTTACTTCTTCGATTGTTTTACGATGAAGTCGGCACGTTCCATTTTTAGTTTAGTTATCCATCGATATAAATTTTATTCATAAGTAAGTAAACTGCGGGAATGTCATCAAATTTGTGATTTTTTCTATATCTCATATATCAATGTTATATTATAAATGAAAATCTTCCTAAATTGAACTAGGTTCGTAGACTGATTAGCGTATTGCGTCAAACAAAATAATTGATAAATATGTTTGATTAATTTTAATTTGAAGTAGAAATAGTCCTTTCAATGTTGTAGCTTAAGCCTAGTTTACACTGGTTGATTTTTTGAGCTATATAGGTTCTCAAACATGCGAAAATTTACAATAGTAGATATATGAATGGCAAAATATTAGATCCAAACTGTATCAAAATTTGGTGGGTGCAATAAAATTCTTTACATTAGTAAAAAAAATTTCAGGCCCGAGTTCCTTCCATTCCCGCCATTTGCATTATTGAGTAATTAACTGATGAAAACAGCTTGGCTGCTGCTGCACACCACCTTCAGCGAGCCCAAATGTCTCACACGCAATACGCATATGAATTCCTGGGCAAAAATGGGAAATCGCAGGTTTTCAGCATCACATTTTCTTTGAATGCAATCAAATCTAATTGCAAAAAACGTATATTCCGGTTGAAACTACGAAAATTTATTAGTGTGTGGTTCCATAATAGTTTATATAAACATTTGATATTGCTTAAATTCGTGTGCACATCAATTGATCATTCAGAACTAAAATAAATGTTGTAATTTTTACCCTTTGCTTAAAGATATTAAATTATTTTCAGCACCTGAAGTTGGCACAATGCTGAGGCCCGCAATCTCCAATGTTGTGTCACCGACGCCTGCTGATTCTAATTTTTTCGTCGTGATCGGCGCAATAAATTTACAGAGTGCATTCTGCGCCATCAAAAATTGACTGTTGTTCATAAGTGATATTTTCATCAGATCATTTTCATTACTCGCATTTTTACGTAATATTCATGACGCGATCAGCAATTTGGTTTATGTATCATGTACAATGTGCTGATAAAAGACATAACCTAACACAACATAGTGATGTCGGCGATAAAGAGTAGGCCTGATGTGGCCTGTCGCCGATTCCTTTACTTTTCGTGACTTGTTTACAGAAGATTTATAATCGTGTCATTTGACCGGATCTTTTCATGACTGACGATAGTTTGAGATAGCTACTAGACTTCCACCGGGTTCGATAAGGTGCTAGGCATTTCAAGTGTGAACATATATTTTTCCATAGTCTGTTCTTGAACGCGTTTATACTCGGAGCGCCAACGAGGTGATCAGGGAGGCTGTTCCACATGTCTGTCCACATGTCTTCTTCGCTTGGCTTGAAATCGCTTCAGTGAGAATATCGAAAATATTTTAATTAATTATAAATTTTCGATATTTCAGGACTATTTCTCACTGGAGAATTAAAAGAAAGTTGAGAGTTGACACTAACATATTCCATGAATTCCTAATTTATTTTAGTATATCTCGTAATATTTTCCTGATCAACAAAAGAAAAATTTTTAGGATAAACTTTGAATAAAATTACATATAATTAAACTAAAAAATTACTTATGAGGGGCGTTCATCAAATAAGAATGTCAATTGAATGTTAATTACCAGGATAAAATGCATCCAAACGTTTTCTGCGAATTGAATATAATGAATAACAATATATTAACGACTGAGTAATCATTATTACTATTAGAGACACGTAATAGATTTTCAATACACTTTCACTTATCTCGAGCGTTTAGCACGAAGC